TGTAAAACACAGAAGCAATTGAATCTCTTGTCCATCCCTTTGCTCACAGTGAAGAATTCCATACAAACTCAAAGACTTTAAAATCTGTTAATGAATCTACATTCGTTAGCAAAATTAAGCTTTCATTGGAAAAGAAAAATATTCTTTGAAAGACTTAACAATAGTCCATCAAAGCCTTACATTTGATGGTACAGAAGAGTAGTGAGCTATGAAGCGAAGAGTATGCGCAAAAACAGGTTGTTTCGTACTTCCCCGTGTTGTAAGTGAAATCGTTGATATGTAAATATTGCAGAGGTCAAAGAATTCTTGCAAAACATTAAATTGTAATAATATACATGCGAAACCGGCACAAAATGCTGAGATATCTGTCGAATCGGTTTTTTTAATGACTACAAAGAACAGTTTTAAAATTTCTCGATGGACCTATACTCTCCGGGCGCGAAATTCGAACTATTTTCTTGATTGTATAGAAAAAAAAAAATCACTTGATGAAATGAAATCATTAATCTATCAACTGTTATAGAAACATTAGTTAGACAAGCAAAGAAACGAAGGTGAGAGAAAAATCAGATGCAAATTTGAAAATGTTTTACCATTGAATTTGCTTATTGCAGTCAAAAGTGCAAGAAACATTGTAGATATCAGCAGTTGTGGTGTCTCTCTTCTTATATATATCTATAACATATAAAATAATCTGAATAATGACAATTATGATGCTGACAAACAAAAACAATGATACAATAATAGTACCTCTTGCAAAACAGGATAAAATCTGGTCTAGAACTAACTTTCATAAATGGATCTGTTATACCGCAACGTTCCAAAAGCATCGACAGTTCACCAAGAAATGTCGCATCGCATTCACCGCGGTGTCCTCGAATATCGCCAACAACACCTCTGAATAAACGAATGAAGCATTAATTTTTGAAAAGCATTAAATGACGAATAAAGATTCTGAAGAGATTAGGTTTCTTTAAGATTCCAAAATGCTTTAGAAGAGCTTCTTGAGAATGTGTTCAGAAAGCTTTCTTTAGATTTTGCTTCTGAAGTTTTTCAAATTTTTTTTAATTGGAGAGAAAAGAACTCGTTAAATGTAGCAACTGCATTAAAGATATTTGATGAATGTTGTCGTAACGCTGACTGATTGACAGCTAATATTTGCTGCCGCAATAGTTGTAATTGGCCAATCTAAAACTAAGTTCTTCTGTTAACTCATTCGATATTTAAATAAACGGATATGAAAAGAAAAATAGAATGATTAAAGAACGCACAATTAGTATGACCAATCATTCAGATTTTCCGGCACACAAATTTTCTATTAATTAGCTCATGATAAATTAGTTGGTTTATGATTTTTTGCAATAAATTACAATTATTCACGAGGTATGGCACTTGTGATCGAGTAAAGCAGTATGTTTTGTTTTGTAATCACATATGTGATCTAAAGCGAATATTATCAATCGACTCTATCAAAAATGAGACTGATGAGAAATAAAACAAAACGTGCCTTACTGACAGTAACAACAAATCGTGACGAATTTGGTAAGAATTTTGATAGAGCACAATCGAAAATTTTCAGTCTTCCAGCAACTGCTACAGTTTTAATCAATGCAATATCATTTAACACTGAAGTCATTGCAGGGCACAATATTTCCGAAACTTGTTCACATAATGCATACAAATATTTTACGATGTGAAATGATGCAATTCGATCAAGTGCATACAGAGCCATTGGTGAAAGAGCTTCCTGAATGGAACGAAGTTTTCACAGTTCTTATCTTAAATAACAAAAGCTCGAATTGCCCAGATACAATTGGAATTGAAAATATTTTGAAATTACGAAAGTTTATGGACATATCGTCCTTAACCCAATTTTACATACACATCCACCAACAACATAACAGTTCTAACTGACTCGCATTTCATAAGGAGGGGTTAAATAAGGAACAAGAAAGCAAATGAAGAGCCTCTAGTTTCATCCAGCAACAAATTCTTTATCGTTCCTTTGTGACCTTAGCTATTTTGATTGTAGTTGGTAAGTATAATTTAATAACATTTTGGTTAACTTAAAATTTTTTAAATTACCTATTTTTAAAATGCCACTTTTTAAATTACCTGAACAGCATTCAGAGATTCATTAGATAACATAGTTTTCTTAGTTCTTAAATCACACCATATCCTCATCGAATTTACAAAATAAGACGATCTGCAAACAATTGTAAATTACAGACCAAAATTAAAGTTCAATCCCAAGTTTGAATCCGAAAATTAATTTTTTCAGATCACTTCTAAAAACTTTTGTAACTGTTTCAAAAATAAAAATATCAGTCTTACTTCGGATTTGATGCATTTAAAATTCGGCTAAATAAGCGATTTAGAGGAGTTAATGATCCTTCACGTGCCAGAAGATTTGGAATAGGCGCTGATTTGGATTGATACAAGCTTTCTTCTTCAGTGATCTGCAATGCGTTGCTCCAATAATCAACCTTAATCAATAAGATACAGATTCTAACATTTTTCTGACACGATTCTAACATAAAAAAGAAAAAATATAGAAAATTCATCTTATTTGTGAATACTAAATATACTGCATTCATCAAAACAACCATTTTAAAATTTTGAAATTTTTTACTAAAACTGCATAAAAAACAAACAGGATGTTGCAGAAAGGCGTTACATTCTTTCTCAGTCATATAACCGATTATACGAGCTAATTCGTTATGCCATATTTCAGCTCCATTAATTGCAATATGTTCACACATGTAAACAAAAGCTCCACGTAGGTGGGCAAACTGGTTCTTCAATTTACTCAAAAAATCATCCAGAGGCAAATCAGAAGTTAACTGTAACTGTAACGTTGCACAGATTTCACCCACTAATTCTCTAAAATAAAAAATTTTTCATCAAATTTATAAATGACTTGAAATCATTTTCATAGCTATAAACTTGCACCTATAAGAGGTGTGATATATTGCTTCGCAGCAATAATCAAGGAAACAAACTTTCTGATTCCATCTAGAAGGAGATTTGATGGATCCACTCGAAGTGACCCAAGTGATGTCAGCTGCATTGTTGAAATACCAGAAGAAAGCATTGAGATTGCATGTGTAATAGCAGCAAGCTGCAAACGACGATCTGAATCCGCAAACTGGCGGACATCAGTTTTATTAATAGAACGTCCCTGCGGAGGATTCAACAAACCAGCTACTTTATCGAACAGTGCAAAGAGCGAATGTGGAACAGCCTGAAAATGAAGTTTTTATTCTGTATCTGAAAGAAAAATTTTAAACTTCAATTTCGTTTTTTGGTTAGATTTCATTTTCATTAATAATTCACGTTCACATTCATTTTCTAATTTTGCAAGAACAATACAAATGTAAGAGTGAAAAGGACACGTGCAGTAATCCTTAGATCTATGAATTTAATCGTAATAAAATTCTTGAAACTGCTTGTATCTAGAAACAGTAAATGCAATGATCAAAAGGAAGGCTCGTACCTGAAGAATTTTGCGCAACCTTGCTTCGATCAAGCGCGAATAACACATTGATATGGATGATATTCTCTCCGGTGTATTCAGACGTTCCAATGTTAAGTTAATTGAACTAGCCATTTTCACAAATAATGAACGTACTGGAAGTGGATCGACTTTTACCAAAATTTTCATATTTTCAATCCATCTATAACACAAACATATCATTAGACATAAAAGCTTGAGAAAAAAGCTAACAATATGAATTCGTCCTGTATTTTTCATTCCACATTTCATATAAATAAACCAAAGTATTATTTGGCATAAATCTGTAAAATAAAATCAAATACAGAGTTTCGTTTTAGAAATAAACGACTTCAAAGAGCAAAATTTAAATAAAAACAAGGATTATTAGTAAAATACAATTAAAATGAAGGAAGTACTGGTCAGTTATTGTCCATCCATATGAAAAATTTGCTGCTGCTTCTATTTTTTTCAAAAATGCTCCATCCAACATGCAATAGTGAGATAGTACAGTCAATAAACCTTGAGTATTTTGCAAATATTGTGATACGGCAACTATTCCATTTAGGTCGTGCATATCGCTCACCTGTAGGTCAAAAATTTAACAACCTAAGTTGAATATAGTGGAAACTTTTAACCATTATCTTTTGTAAATTTAACGAATACTTGTCAAAGATCACGAAAATTTTGTGACAAATATCTATTGCGAGTGAGAAGTAACTCGCATTATAGGCCTGTAACATAAAATTGTCAAAAAAACGATGAAAGGCTGCAAAAGTTGGATGCATGGTTGTGAATATCAGAAGCGGGAAGTGGATGAGCAGAAAACAGACACGTGAATATTGGTAGGAACATAAAATGCAAAAACCTGATCCAGTCGGTTTTTCAATTCTGAAATCAAGGAAGGCGTGTCTGCATTTAAAATATCTAATTCCTCGATGGTTTTCTTCAATAATAAAAGCCATGATCTTAACTTTTCTGCAAAAAAAAATTATCTCATAAGCCAAACATTCATCATGAGAAAACCAGTCCTTTGTAATTAAATTAGTTAACTGTATGATAACGCGAAAATTTTGACTCTATTAAGATTGTAAAAGTTTTATGTACGAAGCAAAACAGGACAAAGCGTAACACATACCATTTTTCTTGATTCTTTGCAAAGGTAATTCGTTTGCAAAAAGTTCGGCTACTTGTATGACGTGATCACAAACTTCCTCCTTAAGTTTTTGAACATTTCTGTCTTTATTGTCAAGAAGCGCTCGAGCGATCTAAAATTCCCGATGTTCCAATAAAACTATTTAATATAAACAAAACAAAAATCCACACTGTTCAAAGATCAAAAATGAAAACCAGATATTAAAGATCCGAACATCTCTTTTGGAAACCTATAATCAAGAAATGATTGAATTACTACTAACATTGTATAATCAAGGAAAATGATTGGAATTTACTGCTAACACTTATGAGCAATGATTTTCAATATTTAAAAAAAATGTTAAATCTGTTTTGCGGAGAATATGACCGATTTTGAAAAATTTTAATTCAAAATTTTAAAGTTTTACAGCTTGCTGTAAGTGTTGAAAATCACTGATTAGTTAGCAATTTCAATTCAAATTTACTTCTTTATAGCCATATTCAAAAGTTGAAACTTCGAGCAGTTTACTAAAGAGATCAAGCGAAGAAGATGCAATTTGATTGTTCACGATGTCATAAAGCTGTCCGGCACGTTTACAGCATTTCTCGGGTTTATCTAGAATGCGAGGAAAAGTTTCTCACTTTTTTTAATATGATAAATATGGTAAAAATATGAATAAATGTGATGAAAAATGATAAAATAAAATATGAATGATAAATATGATAAAAATACAAATATGATAAAAAATATTAAGATAATTAAAACATTGAACAAGAATTGGATACAAATTGACAGCAATAGAACTTACAAGCATGTAACATAATCCATTCAAGATGCTTATTTGAAATAGCTACTAAATCGGCAAACATAATGACGTCAGTTACCGAGAATTTGGCAGTATGTGGGAAGGATGTCGTCTTCAGAGCAGATATATGACTCGCAGTCAAATGTTTTACTATTTGTGCACTAAGTGCATGCTGCAGTGCATTACTTGCTGCTTTATAATGATCCCAAGCATCCAACATATTGATTACTATTCCCATGTGCAAATGCACTACCTAAAAATCAGCTAATCTACTTCTGAAAGAGTAATCTAATTTTAAAAATCGTTATAATTTAGAAACTTAAGAAAACCAACCACATTGTCCCACTTTGCAAAATATAATGAAGATCTCAACATTCAAGAATGGCTCGAATTCAAAAACTTACAAAAAATGAAACTATTTCTTCTACAACCTGATCAACGATAGGGAAATGATAAATCTTAAAAAATGAAAATTTGAAAAAGAGGAAATCCCATATAGCGATGCAAGACGTATATTCATATATCAAAGAAATTATTATCATTGCAGTCAGGACTAGATGATTATTCCATTCCTTTTTTATTTGATCTTGCAGGAACAAAAACTGAAATTGTCATTTTCCACAGTTTAAATCCATATTTAAACACTCATCAAGAAACTATATCAGTTAATCATTATTATTGATAAATATAAAATTTATTAAATTTACTTTTTTGAAAACATACCCATTCCTCAGTGAAAAATGTATCCACAATATGGCGCATAACGACATGATCCGAATGTAGCAATGTAGGATGAAAAAAAAGGCAAACAGAAAGAAATGCTCGCTGATAACGTGAAGCACGAATGCCTCGTCGGGAAAGTTCATGCGGCACAAGTTCATTCTGGAAAAAACAATCGATTACATAACTGTGTAAAATGAATTGACTAAAAGAATATAATAATCTGGATGCACATATAGTAGCAGCTTTACTTCAAAATCACTGTCTCTAACAAGCAGGCTTCAAACCATATTCCACAAATGCGTAAACTAGTAGATGAAACAAATTATCTCAAATTATATGAGCCTTTATGAAAAGGTTGCTGCTCTTTAATAAAGAAAGAAGTGTCACATATATCGAGAAAAGCGAGAATTTCACAATATCTGTGAGACAAATAGATCTGAAGGACAGAATCTCATTTTCATACTTAGCTGATATTCATTCAAGAAACAATATAATGAAGCAAGTCCACTTCTTAAAAATTGTAAAATTCAAACTTTTCTAATATTCCTAAAATTCATCTTGTTCTAGCCAAATCCTACAGTATTATCGATGAAATAATATTTGTGTACCTCATCAGGAAATAAAACGTCCGTGTATAA